TCGAAATCTAATCTGATGTAGCCGTAAATTACGTGACATAACTATGCATTCTCGAATGAGATAGGGCCCCTGCCGGAGGCATAAGGTGACATTATCAGTTTGTATGAAGTTGTTGTGATTATTGTATTGTGATTGTTGTATTGTTATTGTGGTTCCAGGAATTATGGACAGGACGTGGATACAGAACCCGAATAGATGCACGGACGAATACTTGGATAGAATCGAGGATTTTATTGACTTTGCAAGTACACACAACTCGGGTGCAACTAAAATCCGGTGTCCTTGTAGGAGGTGTAACAACACGTTAAGGGAGACAATAGAAAATGTTCGATTTCATTTAGTAAGGAATGGAATGATTGAGACATATAATACTTGGAACCATCATGGGGAACAATTAGACAATGCTTCGTCTTCGTATGCCACAAGAGTGGATAATGTTGAACCTATTGTCGATCCTAATGAACAAGTCATGGATATTATAAATGATGTTTTTCCATTTGCATCGACAAACACCAATCACGAAGGGGAAGATGACATGCCTACACTAATGGACAGTGCAGAGTTCGAACAATATAAAAAAACTATTAAAAAATGCCAACCAAGAGTTATACTCGGGGTGCGAAAGCTTTTTCGTTCTCACGGCCATTGTGGAACTAATGCATGGAAAAATAAAGCATCGTATGTCGAACCAGTGTTTCGATTACTTTTTAGGGGTTTTCAAGAGAATGCTTCCGAAGGACAATTGTTTGCCGAAAGACCATAGAGACGCGCAAAAGGTGTTGAAAGGTCTTGGATTAGGTTATGAAAAAAATTCATGCTTGCAAAAACAATTGTATTTTATTCTACGAAGAGTATAAAACATTGGATAAATGCCCTATATGCAATGAGTCAAGGTTCAAAATGACATCTCATAATAGAACCACTAAGATCCCACAAAAAGTCATGCGTTATCTGCCCCTGAAACCTAGGTTGCAGTGATTGTATATGTTGTTGCATGCTGCCACAGACATGAGATGACATAAGAAAAAACGGGTAGACGACGATGTGATACGACATCCTGCAGATGGGGAGGCATGGAAAGAGTTAGATTGAATGTTCCTCGAGTTTGCTGCTGATTCTCGTAACGTTAAATTGAGACTTGCCACTGATGGATTTAATCCGTTTAGGGTTTTAAACCAACACCACAGTACTTGGCCAATTTTCATATTTCCGTATAATTTGCCACCATGGAAATGTATGAAAAAAGAATACATGATGATGACTCTATTGATAACTGAGGATCCTGGTAGGTCAATCGATGTATACTTACGGTCGTTTGTGGATGAGCTAAAAGATTTATGGACACACAGTGTGTGCACATAAGATAAATGTACTGGCAAGATGTTCACTTTACGGGCTGTAGTGATGTGGACTGTGAACAATTTCCCCGCATATGCAATGGTTTCCGGATAGAGCACTAGGGGTTATATGGCATGCTCTGTATGCAAGGAAGACGTAACATCTAGTTGGCACGCTAGAAAAGTTTGTTACCTTGGTCATCGAAGATGGTTGCCTTGGGACCATGAGTGGCGAGAGAAGGATAAAGAGTTTGACGGGGAGAAAGAGCATCACCTTAGACTCAGAGAATGGTTTGGTTCTCATATTTTGGAACAGCTTAACAGTTTGGATTTTGCTCATTTTAGGACCAATGTCACTAGGACAAGACCTGCTACACATATGAACTGGACACACAAGTCTATGTTTTTTGAGCTCTCATATTGGTCTAAACTAAAATTGAGACACAACCTCGATGTTATGCATGTTGAGAAAAATGTATTTGATACATTGGTCGGCACAATTATAGATATTGAAGGCAAGACAAAGGACACAATCAAAGCTCGTCTTGATTTGGAACGAATGGAAATACGACGGGGTTTATGGATGAATAGGGACAATGATAAAGCCAGAAGGGATCTTGCATTTTTTTCAATGAAATCGAATGACAAGAAAGAATTTTTAAAGTTTTTATCGTCTGTAAAGTTTCTCGATGGGTATGCTTTAAATATCGTGCGTTGCGTGAACGTTGACGGGGGTAAATTAGCTGGCTTAAAGAGTCATGACTACCATGTGGTTCTGCAACGCCTACTTCCTATGGGTATTCGACATCTCTTGCCACCTGATGTAGTGAAACCAATCATGTTGTCTAGTTTTTTTTCGCAATTGACGTCAAGAACGTTACGAAGAACGGACATTAATCAGTTGCGCCATGACATTGTGCAAGTTCTATGCAAGTTTGAGATGATATTTCCTCCAGCCTTCTTCACAAGTATGATACACGTGATGGTTCACTTACCAGATGAGGCATTGCTTGCTGGACCAGTCAACTTTCGATGGATGTATCAAATAGAAAGGTATATATTCCTCGTCTTTTTTATTAATCGATATTAAATATATTACGATTAGTAATATGTGTATCGTATCATTTCCTTTTGGCATGCTTCTCGAAGACTTGAAGAAAAGTGTACGAAACAAAGCGAAGCCCGAATGATTCATTATACAAGCTTGGGTGTCATATGAGGCACTTACATTTTCTGGAATGTATTTAAAAGATGTTGAGACAACTTTCAATCATCATCCTCACAATAATGACGGGGGTGTGAGAAAGGAGAAACTTTCAATTTTTGCCTAGGTCGCTCGACCATTCGGAGATCCGATTTGTGGTGAGTCGTTTTCCAAGAAGAACATGGATGTAGCACATTGGTTCGTACTCAACAATTGTGATGAGACACTGTCACACCTAGACGAGCATGAAAATATGATGAAGCAGGCACATCCTTCACATTTGTATGCCAAGAAACACCGTGAATTATTTCCGCAGTGGTTTCTCGAATATGTAAGTTTGAAGTGTTTTGTATTGGACATATATATTGTACCAATTAAGTTGCTTGAACTAACAAATTTAAATGTTTGTTTAATATTAGGTGAATCAACTGACAACATCGAATTCCCCTGCGTACAGTGAAGAGTTATATAACTTAGCGTTCGGACCAATTCGCGTTGAATTGTACTCGGGCTGCCATGTCAATGGCGTCAAGTTCTTAGCGGGTGCACGAAATGACAAGTTGTGTACACAAAACAGCGGTGTTCATGTCCCCGGAGGAGGCGAAAGTACAGACATTGAATTCTATGGCAAATTAATAAGTGTCGTGTAATTACTTTATAAAGACCGGTGCCAGGTGATCTTATTTAAGTGTCGATGGTTTGATACACACCCGAATAGGCATGGAAGTGTGAAAACAAATCATGGATTACTATCAATGAACACTACCAAAACTTGGTACAATGACGACTCTTACATATTAGCAACCATGGCAAAACAAATTGTGTATCTAGATGACCCTAAATCCAGGGTTGGAAAGTTGTTCAGAAGATGGATCATAGGAATGTGTATGCTATACCAGAACAAGACCGTACTGACGACGACATCAACAATGTTGCTGACCAACGTCTTGAATCTTTCATGGAAAGTGATGCGGAAACACTCCGAGATACTAATTTTATCCAAGAACCATTTCAGATAGATGGAGTATCTTCAATCGAAATACTGATTCAGTTCATCACGATTGACCTTGGTAATATTCCACGATACGATGGTCCAGTGCGCACGAACAACGATGGTGACGTACCTATCGATGATAAGGAATGTGACACTCAAAATGATGATAGCGACGAAAGTGAAAGTTATTATAGTTCGGATTAAGATTAAGGCAATTTATTTGTAATTTTTTTGTAAAACACATGAAATGTTTAATGCATTATATAGAGTGATGAAAAAAATGGTATGAATGATTCCCATTTTATATGTGAATTACTTTGTATTTAAAGTTGTTTTGTTTGTATTTTATAATAAATTGTAAACAAAATAATAAAAAAAAAACCAATTTAAAACACAATTGCGTGACGCGTAAAATTTTTTTGGTCGCACAAATATACTTTGCGCGATGAAATATATGTATTCGTCACCCACGTGTCTAAAAATTCAATTAAAGTGCTTTTTCGCGGAAATTTTAAAAACTTGCACTACGAAATATATTGATTCGTCGCACAATTGTCTGAAAATTCAAATAAAGCGTTTTTTTTGCGGAAATTTTAAAAAACTTGCGCGACGATTGTTTAGCCTTGCGAGACGAACACTCCGTCACGTAATATTCTATATTATTAACCCCCGTGCGTCTCGTTCCTCCCTTACTTCCCTCTTCTTCCTTTTTTCCCCGCGCGATACCCTATCTTTCCTTCCTATCTATCTTCGTTTGTCTCTCCTTCACTCACCTCGTCTCTCCATCCCTCTCTCGGTCCATCGCCTCTTTTTCTCCAATAGGTAATTTCCTTTTCAGTTTTTAGTTTCAATTTTGTTTATTGACTGGGGGTTAGAATTAGGGTTTTTATTTTTTTCAAATTAGGGGCGGTGGGGTTAGATTTAGGGTTCGTAAATTGGAGGTTACATTTAGGTTCTTAAATTAGAGTTTTTAGGGTTCTTAATTGGGGTTGGATTTAGGTCTTATCTTAGGGGAACGATTTTGGGCAATGAGGTTAGATTAGGTTTTCTTAAATTGGGGGTTAGATTTAGGGTGCTTCACTGGGGGTTAGATTAAGGTTCTTAAATTAGGGGTTTTTTAATTTCAAATACAGGGTTCGAATTAGGGGTTTTCTAATTTAAGTACAGGGTTCTTAAATTAAGGATTTGCATTGTTGATTGCCACGATTTGTTGATATATAATGGGGTATTACCCTTTGTTGTTGCCTTATTAATATGATAGACTCGATTGTGTTGCTTGTTGAATTCGGCATCCCAATTTTGAAGTTACATTTACATTTTGATATTAATCTTTCTTTTTTGCACAATAATTTGAATTCCTCCATTATAGTTTAGATTATATATATATATATATATATATATATATATATATATTAGATTTTCATGAGAGGTATTAACAAACTTCTTTTGCTACGATATATATATATATATATATATATTAGATTTTCATGAGAGGTATTAGCAAACTTCTTTTGCTGCAAATCGCAGAGCACATGAACTTTGTTATGATGGGAATGTTTCAATTATTTTCATATTTCTACATCTCCAAAGTCATTGAATCTGCCCATATGCATTCAGAAAATGCTTTTGACCAGCCAATGGACTGGAATTCCCATATGTTTATTTAAGTTAACAAGTTAATTTGAAATCAAATCAACAATTAGCAATCCTTTTGTAGCCATTGAAGTTGTAAGCATGTGAAAACATAATCAAAATCTTTGTGTACTAAACAAATTGATTGCCAATTTTGTAGATGTCTCACCTCATTAGAACTCGGAGGCCGATGACTTCTACACCTAGTCTGACGACTATACCTACTACTGCTGCCACTGCTCCGACAGAGATGGACCATAGGCCGGTCAATCCGGTTCACTCAGATGGTCCTCCAGTTCCACAGGCATAGACATCGTCAACTTCTTCGGTGGCGTTACCTATTAACGCCAGACGAACTCATCGACGCCCCCGCACTGTGGAACAGATGTCGCCATCGGGATCCCTAACCGATGCCTTCGGTACATGGTCAGGTATACAATCCTAATTCACTCCCTCATTCCCTTGTTTACTAAGTTTTTTTATTTTAGGTTCAATTTGTTATGTCATGTAAGGATTAAAATTTTTTCATCATTCCGAACCTTTTATTAAACTGTTGTGATTATTATGTTGGATATGTATATTGTTTATGTTATTTTCAAGGTTTTGGGAAATGTTTTAATTATAGGGGAGGTTATGCCGAAATTTAAGTAGGATTTGTTATTAGTTATGGGTTAATGATTTTTTTTTTCATCTATTTGCAGCGAAGAAACACACCCGGGGACCTTGTCAGCAATTGAAGACGGGGAAGGTCACCCGGGTGACCAACGGTCGTATCCTAATCGGATACGTTAAGCGACATCGGGCAGCACTAACGGCGAACTAACATAGTGCATTGGCCCATGACATTGGGCATGTTGTGCGGACCTTTTGCCCTATGCTGTGGAAGTCTTGGAAGGCGATGATGGAGGAGACGAAGATTATGGTGCGCAATCAATTGTCCGTAAGTAGCATCGCCTTTTTAATGCTTTTCATGTAAAATTTATATATTTATATGTATTAATGTCTTTTATTACTAATGCTTTCAAAATATTTGTTATATTGCAGACAAACTACAATTTGGAGCACATGGACGAGGACAAGTTCGCATATGTCAATCGGCTCTTCTCCGAACGCTACAAGCAGTGGAAGAGTGACTTGCACCAATGGTTTTAGGAGTTTGATGATCCGTAGGTCGCTCTTGAGGAGGGATGTCCGAAGAAGTTGGAGGACCGACAAGATAGTTGGGTTTGGCTTTGCGGTTATTTTAAGGACCCGACATATGTGGTGCGTTTTTAATGATGACTTCTTTCATTTTACTTTTTTTATTTTTTAACAATGTTTATTATTAATTTTTTTAAATTTTCTTTAACTATTACAACTAATACGTTTATTTTTTGTATAACAGAAGAAGGCGAAGGCGAACAGGATCAATCGAGAGAAAAAGACTCTTCTCCATCATTCGGGTTCGAGGCCTTTCTCCTATAGGATGGAGGTGTGACGGAAGATATATATTACAACTTTCATTTCCAATTTTAAAATGTCGCTAATAATTTTTTTTTTCGTACTAACATTTTCCTTATCTTTTTCGATTTTAGGAGGGTTCAAAATTTCCGAAGATTGATGTCTTTGCTGACGTTTATGTTCGGCCTAGGAATGAGTTAACCCAGTCTCTTCATATAAGTAATTTCTTATGCATTAAACATTTATACTAATTCTTTCAAATTGTTTTCTATTAATAATCCATGTGTTTTTTTCACAGGCAACTATGGTGGAGAAGCGACAAGTGGTGCTTCAGGAGTTTGCCTCCCACCTTCCCTCGGACACGTCGATCGAGTCTATGGATCCCCCTGAGAATGCAGGGTTTCACATCGTCACAGAGACGTTGGACCAAACTTTCGGTCAAAGGCCAGGGACATATTGTCGGGGGATGAGAAATGCCAGGCGTCGGGAAACTGGAGCCTCATCATCCTCGTAGTTAAAGACCAAGGTTACGACTTTGACGCAGGAAGTCGCTGGGCTAAGGAGTGAGCTAGCATCGTTCAAGTCTCAAATGTCAATGCTTGTACAAGCCCTCAGTTCCTCTGGAATACATCTCCCCGGTTTTTCTACACCATCGCCCTCACAGCCCTTCCACACCGAGCAAGCACAACAATCAGGCCCGTTGACCTCCGACCCTGTCCCCAACCAGCAGCAAGATTACCAAGCACCTCTGAATGACATGCCTATAGATTTTGCCTCTTTATTTTTGTAGTTTTGTTCCGTTTTTTTTACTTTATATTTGTACGTACATTTTTATTTATATTATAAATAATAAAAAAATTATTCATTAATTTGCTTTTTTTTTTCTTTCTCATGTCATTAGTATGAAATCTGTTTTTTTTTTCCTTTTATTCTATTTTTTTATTAAAAATTACACGTGTGCGACGACGAAATGTCGTCGCGCAAAATTACGCGCGTCTTACTCTTCATTGTGCATTACCACGCGCCTACTATAGATTTCGTCGCGCAAAAAGTTTTGAGACAAATTACCCACAAACGCACTTGTACTCGTTTAAATCGTACGACGAAAACCTTTGTCCGTATAACTTTCGCGCGACGACTAGTAATGCGCCGCGCAATTGTTAAGACACGCGACAAATTTGAAGATGTTCGTCGCGCAATGTCTTTTTTCATGAGCTTTGCGCGACAAAATATGCGCGATGATTTTCTGGTCGCCATAGTTTATGTGCGACCAAATAATTTTTTGCGCGACAAAATGTCCATAGTCGCGCAAACTGTTTAATTTAGTAGTGATGATATCTCATACTTCATTTTGATCAAGTCAATAACTTATCATATACTCACTTCATACAAAAGTTAAGCTTCATCCCCTTGTATGATGAATTAATAAATAAAATTTTGGTCAGACTCATGTTTATTAATTTTTAAATTCATTCGATTTGAATAAAAATAACAAAAGATAAGTAAGAAACGAGAAAAAAAAAACGCGCATAAATCATAAAAAGTGCATTTGCTAAAGAGATAATGGAGAGTTTTGTATTTGTGCAATAGATTATTAGCGCATATGGAAAAACATTATCTACATGGAAAACCCTTTTGATTCTTGAACATGGAGTGGTGATCACAAATAACAACTCACTATCATGTGATGGTACCACTAATCACCACAACGTGGCGTGGCCACATGCATGGGGTGGGACGTCATTGGTCTAATCAACTTCAACTTTGGAACCAATTGACCTTCAACTTTCGATGTGTGACAATGTGAGCTCATTTTCAGGGATGGTTTGATTGAAGAAGCCTCGATGATCCTAGTTCAAGACCCAATTCAAATCCTTTTCTGGTCCAACTAGTATCTATAGCTCGTATCCAAAATGCACCAGGATGTAACACCAAGTGATCCAACAGGATAATGCAATTCATCATATTTCATTGATTTTGGATATGACATACCATACTGGAAAATTCTTCCATACTGCATGGTATAAAATACTACGAGCACTGGATAAGATGAATTGATTTGGATGATGTGGTTCTTTGCATCCAAATCATTTAATACTCGTAGTAGTCCATGTAAAACATATAATATATATGAATATGAATTCTGAATATTATAACACAGTACCAAATTAACCACTCACCTGAAGATGATGACATGCTTGTTGGGATTAGAGTTCTTGTGCAGCTCTCCTCTTCAGTATGCAAGGCCTCAAGAATGGGGTTCCATTTTTTGTAAGCTTGCGTGATTAAAAAGAGTGCAGGGACCCTAACCATACACAGTGGTAATCAACTAAGATGCTTTCCATTGAGTATTATTGATTGATCTTAACCTCTTATTCATGTAAGCTAGAAAGACTTTTAGTACTATAATGAGTGTTCAAGCTAATGAATCCTAATAAACATGTTCCTTATTAGCACACAAACATTATCAATGTTAATCTCTAATATTCCCATGTGTATAATAACAAGTGCTAACCAAGTGTATACCTATCTTCAGAACTTACAGTCCATACTACGTAGTATGGGAGTTGGACCCTACAATACAAAGTGTTTCTGATTTTGTAAGATAAGAAGGTTTAAAGAAATAATAAAGTTAGCAACCTTTGTACTAACATTTTCATTTGCACATGTTCACTTTATCAAACGCCACGTGTCATTTTTTAACGCAAAATACAAGACATTTAATGCCTTAAAATTATATTTTATGCTTTTCATCTTTAATCCCTAGCTAAAGTCATTAAAATGTTTTTATTTATTTATTTTTTTTGTGTGTGTACAAAATGACACATGACATTTTGATAAAATGAAAAGGTCCAAATGCAAATATTAGTGCAACGGTTGCTAGCACTCCCTTACTAATAAAGTAAAATGACATCAATGTTTTTACGACATTCTTTTTTAATATATTATTGTCATGGCACAAGAAGTTGGGAAAAAAAAACTTTTAGGTTATGTTTGGATGAGAAATTTGTAAGTATTAAGAGATAGCTAGGATAAAAACTTAATTAATTAGAAATCAACTACAAAAATATTACGTAAAATTTGAAAAGGGCTACATAACCATTACAAAAACATAAACAAGTGATTTATAAACAACTCATCTAATATTTGTAGTGCATTTTCAACTAATTTAACATAAATCTCTTGCTACAACATCTTGAAAATAAAGTCTTCCTCCATCTAAGGAGATACAACAAACTCCCACTTTCAAATAAAGAGTTGATACAACTTCGTCAAACTCACAAAAGTCGAACAAAAAACCTAAACCCTAGCCATGAGGCCAAGAACCAAATTACTCCCATGAAGAGCCGTCATTGTTGTCAACAATGAGGTAAAAATAACCATCAAAGTAGAGAAACACTGCCATAGCCAAGCACAATGCATCACAAAATCGCATTGACTGCTATTTAAATGAGAAATCGAACCAAACTAGACTGTACCTACAACTAGACCAACATATAGCTCGTTTGGTTGTGCTTCTAAAAGAGCCAAAACCACTTCCTAATGAGTAAAAACGTTTCAGTTTAAAAAACTTGTTGTTTGGCAAATATTTTAAAAGTGTTTTTAGTTAGAAGTAGAAGTAGAAGTAATAAGAAGCATTTTCTAAAGAAGCACCTAGGAGGTGCTTCCTCTTAAAAGTGATGCGCAGAGAAAACAAGGGAAGCACTTTGCTCTCTTTAATGAAATTTTTTCAATTTCAAAATTATCCCTATTTTTTAATTTGAAAGTCTAAAATGCCATTACACTTCAAAAAAAAAAATATCAAAATTACCATCATCTATTTTTTCTAGGGTTGCACGTCGATAACCCATAAGGTTTTTATTTTCATATTATTTTGGAGGCTGAGCATTCTACTTGGTCTCCATCTCTTCATCTTCATCTTCCCCAAACCTCTCTACATGCATCTCCATCGCCTGAACATTTTGTGGAGGTATGTATGCTATTTCTTATCTTAAATTTGTATGTAGCCACACGCAAATAATTTTGTTTGGTGATCGTTCATTAACCTTCCAAAGGTATATCACGACCTTAAGCCTGGAAATATTTAACAAATTTTGATTTATCATTTATGACATTAAACCCCTGGTACAGAATCACAATCCTCTTATAAAATCATGTTGCTTCTCTCTTTACAGACTTACTCTTCTTATTTGTTAATAAATATAAATTTTTGTTTGGTGATCGTTCATTAACTCTCCAAAGGTATTTCTGAATTATTTGTTTCCTGTATGATTGTTGTTTTTAACTATTGTTATTAGAATTATTTTTAATGTTTTCTATCAATACGATTTATAGCGCTTTTGCTTTTGGTATTCAGAATACTTTTTAGATTAGTAAACTTTGCATAGCAAATTCGATAAAATAAAAAAAATAAAAAAAAACTTTGAAGATCAATAACCTTGCTGCCGTTTGTTCATGATACCGTTTCTCTATGAGATGTTTAATGATGAAACAACTACCAAAAATTATTACCATTGGAAACTTTCTTATAATCACAAAATAATGAAATAATTGCTTCCCAAGTTACGTAACAATTGAACAACCTATTATCACTGCAATAATTGCTTTTCATACTACTGATAGTAAACCAGATGCTTCCATACAATTGAAATATTTAAATTATTCGTGTTGTTAGTTAGGACATAAGCAGTGGTGTATGCTCTTATTTTGTGCTATAGTTTGTTTTTCTTTCTCTTTATAAATATGTCTAAAAATATAGTTAGAGATGCACAAGATGCACGTGAGGAAAGTAATAAAAAAAAGGGTAAGGCAATGTGGGATGATGCAAATGTTGAGACATTTATAAGCATTTGTGTAATTGAGACATTAGCCGGAAATCAAACAGGTGGTCATCGTAATAGGATTGGATGGAAAAATGTTATTAAGAAATTTAATGACCTTACTCAAAGGTTGTATGATCGTAAACAAATCAAGAACAAATGGACTGCACTTAAGAAAGAATGGCAATTGTGGACATCATTAGTTGGTAAAGAGACTGGCTTAGAATGGGATCCTGTGAAGCAAACTATCATTGCAAGTGATGAGTAGTGGGAGAAAAAAGTGAAGGTGAGAAATTATTAACACATTAGGTCATGGGAACACTATTAGGATGGTCCAAGAGAGGTTTCAACGCTCTGGTGAGATTGTCTTTAGGTGGTTTGGGAAACTATTAGATGTTGTTTCTCGCATGGCTATCGATATTATATGCCCACATGATCGGCAATTCAAGAGAGTTTCAAATAAAATTAAGGATGACAATCGATATTGGCCATATTTTAAAGGTTGCATAGGGGCAATTGATGGAACATGTCCCAGTTGTGGTGCCTAGAGAAATGCAAGTACCATATATTGGTAGAAAAGAAAACACAACTCAAAATGTTATGACTGTATGTGATTTCAATATGTGTTTTACATTTGTCTGGGGCTGGATGGGAGGGTGCTACTCATGATTCACGTATATGTTAGATAAATATCAACAATCAATGATAAATTTATATGCTAATAAATAATAAATGCAAATTTATAATTTAACAGAATATGAACAAAACGAAATAATATTCAAACAGATAAACTGAAGATTGAGGCTTCCGTACCGCACTGTCCTTGAAACAGAAATTTCGTCCATACTCAGTGCTTGTATTTCTACGGACGTCTGCCTCACCAGGATTCAATAATCTAAGTCAGGATTTCAGCACTGGAAAACTAGACTTCTTGTGCATTTCTTTGTGGTTCTCTCAGTAAAAAGGTTTGGGATTGTAGAAGAAGAATTTGATTTTTTTTTTTTGTTCTAAATGCCATGCAGATGGATGTATATATAATAGATTTATGTTTGTTTGCAACATGTAAGAGAATGTGATGCATCTGTTGGGAGATATCTTCTTAGAAGGGTGCTTTGCTCTCTAGTGGCGTTCTTTCATTGCTTCAGACATCATTTGAAAAGATGAGTCTTTTGATAAAAAAATTAATTAATTAAAAATAATAATTAATCAAAGAATTTAACTATTAGAGCCCGAGCCCTAAGGTCCAAGGCCCATCTTTTGATAAATATATATTAATTATCCATTAATTAGCACACCTCAAAGCCCAATTATGTATTAATTATATACTAATTATCAATTAATTAGCACACCCTAAAGCCCAAACCCAAGGTTGAGCCTAATTTTATTCTCTATGGTTCATCACTCCAATCACTTTCTAAAAGGGACGAAGCCTTATAAGGTGATGGAACCTTTTGCGGTGACCAACGTGGGACAATGAAATATCTACTCAAAATTTCCAACAATATATTCATGGAGGCCTTGAGAAGACCAGAATTGAAATTTCCTTATCCCTTTCTAGTTAGTAGTCAACTTTAGTCCTATATGAATGTGTTTATTCATTTATGATCTTATAATCTAAAAAATAAATATATTTTTCTTTTCAATTATGGTATAGGTAAATATTATCTAGTTAATGTTGGATATCCACATATGAATGAATATGTTGGACCTTACAGGGGTGAACGATATCATCTTCCTGAGTTTCAATGTGGAAGTTAGCCAAGAGGGAAAAAAGAGATATTTAATCAGAGGCATTCATTCCTAAGATGCACCATAGAAAGACTTTTGTTGTTTGAAAAAATAGGTGGACAATGATTCGTCTCATGCGTAACTTCCCTTTTGAAAAACAAGTACAAATTCTTGTTGCTTCAATGGCTTTACACAATTTTATTACGAATCGTTCCATGATAGATCAAGAATTCCAACCTTGCAAGGATGATGAGGAGCTACTTCTGTTGGACATGAGGAAGATCATAGAGATGAAAAGATTGTTGATGAAAATTTTACTCATAGGTGAGAGTTAGATGTTGAACGAGAAAGAATTGCTAATCTTCTTATATCTAGTTAATAGTTATATCACATTTGATTGCCATGCAACTATAACGTGTTTTTTTTTTTAAGAAAAAAACATATATTTTCAATAAGTATGTATCATTTTGTTAATGATCATTACTATTTTTAATTGAATTTTCATCAGCAATTTTAATCAAGTCGTACGCTAATTATATACAAAAAATATTTATGCAAAAGTTATTGAGAATTATTAATGAAAGCGCTTTTTCATTTGACAACCAAACACTCTATTTAATATCAAAACCGCTTCTATACAATACAAAAGTTACATGCCAAACAACAAACTACTTCCTTATAAAAGCGCTATTGAAAAGTGCTACAATAAAAAAGTGTTAGTGAGTAAAAGCGCTTTATAGCGTAACACATCCAAATGAGCACATAGTATTTTGACATTTATAACAAGCCCATTCACATTGTTGGTGTAGTGTTGGATTGGGCTTCTCTCTCTAGCTCTTTTGGGCTTTGTGGTTTCGCCCTGGGTTGATTACGATGAGACGTATTCCCCCGTAACGAACATTATAATGTTTCGCTACCTTATCAGTTTGGTAGTTTTTTAAAAACTGAATATGCAGCTTATGAATGTGATAACTAAAATTTTACTTGGAATCTCTACAAATCAATTAAACTCCATAAAAATTCATGGATTTATAAATCCATTAAAAACTGAATAATCCTCCGTTTATTTTGTTCAGTATGCAAACATCAAAAAAGAAAAACCAAAATATGGAAAACGAATGGGGTGTTTGACAACCACTTTATTTTTAATTGTGATTTTTTTTAAAATTGAAAACTAAAAATTAATGACACACCCGAACCCAAGATGTCCACTTGGACTTCGAATCGAGCTGTGCTGATCGACACTAAGAGGGTGACGAAACCATAAAGTGTAGTGATGTGGAAAATGTGAATAAATTTAAAACCTAAAAATGCCTAAATATAAGAGTGCACTTGTGAGCGGGAATGAACCTATTTCACACGTGATGCCAAAGCATAAGTAAAGTACAACAAAGTAGGATGTGAATTATACCATCAAAGGTAGTCATCTATATCAAAGTTTACCAAGAATTCTCTCGACATGGAAGCTCAGCCACTAAACTTGGAGGGGCGAAAAATAAGGGTGAGTGGGCCTAAAAATAAAGTTTTATAAAAACCTTTTTGAAAACATTATAACCCCTTGTTGTAAAACAAGTATAGTTTCTAGAAAATCATACTATGTATACGTATGAAATCAAAAGTATTTCAATAATAATTCAAGGAACATTTAAATCATAATATCTCAACTACGGCATAAGAAAATCAAGTTCTCATCAGTAAAATCAAGTACTCATCAATCTATGCTAACACATGAGTTCATTCAGAGATATTCTGACGTGAACATGATTGGGTGAAATCACAATATATATGCTCTAGTACTACAATCACGTGAAGATTGATGCTATGCGCATCACATACGAGTCCTAGTTGCCTATTGCAACCTAGGACAAGATTGACACCTACAATGGATCCAAAGTGAGCGAGCGGTGCGATGTGAACATACACGTAAACCCTGGCCCTGGCCTGGGGCGAATACTAACACCGGTGCAACAAGTAATGAAAATATAGTCATGCCACAATGATTTCAACATAATATTTTTCATAGCTATAAATTTAATTAAGGCAGACATATAGAAAATTCATTATTAGATGTATATATGGAAACTAAACAAATATATATATATATATATCAAAGAAAAAACCCATTCACAAATCATGTCGTCTAGTCGAACCCGCCTCACGGGCATAAAAGATCCTTGTCAAGTATTTCACCTAGAAATGAGACCATTTATGTAAATATATAACGTACTAACGTATAAACGCATTTTCGTACAAAGTACAGCTAATAAAAGAAACTATTTTAAAACGGTCGAATTTTGGAAAACGAACGGCGGATTAGGATTTAGCACGTTAAGAAACCTAAGAAGGGACCTCGGGTTCCTCCACACGTTGCCACAGGGTGGCTGCATTAGCAACCACGCGCCGCACGTGCCACTCGCATTGGTTGCCCACGCACCCTCACGCGCCTTCTTCACGAAATCTGCAGTTTTTGCAGATTGTAGGGCTGAATTCCAGAGCTCATTTCGAGCTCAATACTGAACCAAAATCAATGATTCAAAAGTCAATTTGAAGCTAGAAATGTAGGGAACAAAACCATACCAAAGTAGGGCCAATCTAACGTCGGTTTTGGCCGGAAAAATGTTCTAAAGGTGGTCAGATGGTCACAGACACTTGTTGGAAAAACCGTAGAATTATCTTCTTCAAAGTTATTTCAACGTCAACCTTTCACCAAAATGCCTGAACTGAGTCACACATCCATAATTTCTATGAGAGAAGTTAAATCTAGTGTTCTCGAACCTTACCTTAGTCGGAATCGATGAGAACTCGTTGGGGAAGATGATGAATAGTGGCAATGGCCACTGTGCAGTGTAAGCTCCACGTCTGGGTTTGATGTTCACGGTATAAGGTTAACATCGATGGGGAATAACAAGGTGTGGTGGGGTGGTGTGATCTGGCTCGCCAGAATGGCCATCGTTGTAAGTGGCTAGCGACGATTATTGCATACAATTTATTCTCTGCACTTGTAGAGAGAGGTAGACGGGAGGGAGCTTGAAATTAGTAAGTGGGAGTAAGGGGGCAACAAGTCCGTGAGTTTTTAAAAAATGAGAGTTTGAAAGAGAAAGGGACACGGCAATAAGGGAAGAAAGTGGGGAGAAAAGAGACACATGACAGCGATGGAGAGGAAAGCTTGTGATGTGGGGCCCAACGGGCCAAACTAAATTAATAAAATATTGAAAGTATTCCATAAAAAATTAATAAAATTGTAAAATTAGGGATAGGTTGTCATAATTAAAACTAGCATTTGCCTACACACCTTGTGTGTATGAACACATTTTTTTTAGAAAATGAGAAGGAGAGAGGGAGAGAGAGAGAGACAACGTGGGGGGAGTGAGAGGTTTTTTATTTTTTAATATTGAAAGTATTTTAACATCACCTGTAGGTGAGACTTCAATAAAAAACAGTAAAGTTTAGACCTATGAGATTATATTATTGCCCATCATTTTTTTGTGTGATAGAATACTAATTTGTCTTTTCACCCTATTTTAGTTGACAAAGAACATTTCATTAATTAGTAGAGATATAATTTTAATCAAAAATAAAAAATAAAAATTGAAAAATGAAAGTACTGTAATTACTAAATAAGATTTCAATTTTAATTTCTAAATTTAGTAAAAGTAAAAATAAAATTTATAAAACTAAATGAATAATAATGTAGCTATCAAATAAGATTTCAATTTGCAAGTGGCCATTTACCACAGTGGTAAGAAGATGTTAAGCCTTTGCATGACGGCGTTGGTTCAAACTCCTCTAGTGGCTAATCTAACGTCTAATTGATAAATTCTATAGTTTGACAAAAAAAATTCAATTTTAGAAAAAGTGAAAATTCAATCTATACTAAAACTGAAAACACACTCAATCACTGTTCATAAGCACAGTGTTGTTCTGGTTTTACCCCCTGTTTTTTCCCTTTTTTTCAACTTTGCCATTTTGCCTTGCTGTCAAGTGCAGCAGCATTCTTGAACACGTGGGATCCCGTTCCATTGACACTTCCTGCCTATTCCCCCCTCTCACTCTTGCTCACCGCTCCATGCCGCTTTATCTCCTTTGTCGCTCAAAATCATCGCAAAAAACCTAAACCTCAAACCATCAAATCCATTTTCACAATTTCTCTCAGAATCGGCGCTTCTCTCTCGCTCACCGCTTCATCGTCAACAAATCTCAACCGTAGCCGCACTACAAGCCCATCTGGATGGAAAACCCATGAAGAAATCTTGGTCGTCGGTTGACAATCGAACTGCAACATCGTCTTGACTCACCTCAGTATCAGCAGATTCTAGCTTCAAACCCTCTCCGACCCTTCTACCCAAAAGCTTTCTCACCGATTTGTCATCAAGTAAGCTATTGGAGTTTTTATTTGGCATTTGATTCAAGTTTTCTGTTCATAAAATAAGAAAACAAACTCAAACCCCCAAACTAACATATAAAATTCTACAAATTCTCTCACTCTTAATCGAATCGATCTCAAGTGTTAAGGTTTTAGGGTTTCGGTCTTCAAATTCCGGAGAATTATTTCCGTCTGAACACCGATGACAAAATTGTTGTTTGGTTGTCGAGAAAATATGTAAAAAAATGATATTCTTCTCAACATATTTAGATAAATTCGTCCATGCACCTTAAATTTTATGTTTGCTTAGTATATGTTTTCATAATTAGATCATATCAAGCTCCATTCATGTCCACTTCTATTCATAAAAGCCCGCCTTTTGTCAATGGCGACAACGGAGGCTAGGCTTGGAGCTAAACCAGAACCAAAAGAAATTGAAGAGAGTTCTGAACCTCTTCTCAAATACAAGGTAATTAAAACTAAAATATCCTTTTTATGAACACCAATCAGCTTCTTTGCCTGCTAGGTCCATTGTTCTTCATTTTGCATGTCTTTCGAAGGATATTTGAGGATAGAGATTTAATACTTCTCAATTTGGGATTTCTGTGTTGTAGATTTTGCAACAGCAATTGCATGTGAGGCAAGGAAGCCGTTGGTGATAGAGAGGGTGAAGGTTGTTCCACCTAATGCCATGGAAATGAGGGTAAAGGTCAAAATATACCTCAGTTTATCACATTGAACTCTACTTCTGCCGAAGGTCAGCAATAATAGCTATCACATACATATAATATACATAATATATACATATGTGTCTATATATATATGTGATTTTATATGATTAACCTTTGAGAATTGCAGATTTGTAAACTATGAGTAGACTTTTCTAGGCACATTTACTTCGAGTGAATACATTGGTGTTCATTGTGGCCGTCTTTCCAAAATTAAGCCCCTTGCTCAGTTGGACAAAGTTTGCATCCTCAGTTGTGCCATACCGACAAGTTTGATGTCCTACTTCAATGCTTTAGAGCCTTGAATTATGCATCCTAAACTGACTACATATTGATTCGTTTGCATTATACTGGATATTTTGTTTTTTAGTATCAAGTTTGGGTACCCCTCTGAATGTAGCTAAACGAAAAATTATCCTCAGTTGCTGTTTATTGGCCTTGCTGTAAGTTTGGAGAAACTTTGTTGATCCCAAATTCTTTGTTCTAATAAATTGCGTTTATTTTCTTTTCCGTATTTATACTGATAGATGCATGATCTAGGTCATAACTAAAAAATTTGGAGTAAATGATTTTGTGAATTTGAGTGACAATGACAAACCAGTGCACGAGATGATAAATGATTTGCTATTGTTATTATGTGTTGGACATGAGTCAACATAGGTAGTTAAGTTATAACTTCAACTTATATTTTTATTTTCTTCTGCTTCTCATCTACCCAAGTCTACAATGTACATGCAGCTAAGGAGAAGACCGAGACATCAACCAGTGCATAAGCTTCTGATAAGACTAATTGCAGATAGCACTACAAATGAGCACCACAAATTTAAGCTTGATGTTGGTATGTGATTTCCACTCCATCTCATCTTTTTTTTTAATGTCAGTTTAATTTTCAAACCTTTTGTACGTATCAAGTAATTCTCCACATAATTGAATAATGGCCTTTTTTTTTGTTTCTCTTTTTCGCCCTCCATCAATTCATTGGTTAACTCCATCAATTCATTGGTTAAATAGATGCTTTGTATATATATGAAAACTTGGTTTTGATAGGCACCAAAAGTTTGGCCATAATAATTTGTCGTTACAGTAAGATTAATGATTTAATGGGGTTGTGTTTAATTTTTTTAGAGTTTAAATTAAAGGGTTGAGCTTGATGGCTTTACTCTTTTCTTTTTTGTCTTTCCTTTGCTGCATTATGTGTAAAATTCAAATACATTCTTCAATATTTTTTTTTAGTTTTGGAGTTTTCTTGGGTAAAGTTTGGTTTTTTATGGTTGAGTTCTCAACTGGGTTTTGCTTATTTTTCTGTCTCCAAATATAAGTTATTAGATGCTTTTCTTTGTTTCCTCTTAATTTTTAAATTTATTTTTTTGTTATTTAGTGTGAGAAAATGGCTTCAAGATTGGAATTTCCATCATCTGGGAAAAGGAAAACAGGAAGAGAACACCAATTGTGGTGACGATGGAGAATCCCTTCTTTACGGTGGAAATCAACGATCTATGTGCAACATTTAGCCCAGTTTATAAGAGGAAGAACTAATTACATGGGTTTATCAAGTTTTGTACTGAGGTAAAACTCCCCCCATTTAACATAGTTTTAAATGCTGATTAGTATGTGTGTGTTTAGGCCCGATTTTACACTATCGGTTCGTGCGATCAAAACCGTTGATGAACATGGCTCTCAACCGTTGGATGACAGGATAGTTGAGATAATTATTATTGAAAGATACATTGTGGTTTTAATCATGATATTATCTTTTAATGGTGAATTATGTTTTAATTATGCATGCACGACAGTAGAGATTGATGACTTGTGGTGTTGGTGTTGTCAGATTGAGTATAGGATCATAAAAATTGATGATGGGGTTAGTGTCCATGCCCTGTGAAAGACTACCAACTATATATAAAGCGGACTGATGGAGGGCCTGATATCTGATGGCCTAGACCACATACATATTTTATATATATATATATAATGGATGGTTGTTTAGATGAATATTATTTATTCAAAGCCTAGCATGTAGGTTGTCTTGGGAATCTTAATGGGATAAAACATGGCTACGGATAGGTTTATGACAAAGAGATGAGAAGCCTAGGTGGACTAGAAATGTGATGTGATAAGCCTAGATGGACTGTTAATTTTGAAAAGTCTTGGAACAAATCTCACGGCTCAGTTTGAAGGATAGCCCTGGTTTCTGGGTTTTGATACGGATCAATTTCAGGAATTAGAATTGCAATTAAACTCTGCAACATCATCTGACCGTGCAGAGCAAGTACTTCAGTGCTATAAATACAGATGCAGTGGCAACGGAAAGAAGGCCTCCAATTCAACACACAACTGCCCTCCGCAAACTCTCTCAACAACTTTGAGATTTTTTATTTTCTCTTTTCGCTGACACATCTTCCGTTGGCATCAACAGCACTGTGAAAGCAACCGGTGATATCTTAAGTCGGCATAGATAGCTCTGTCACCATAGAATCAGTCGGTCTCGCAGCATCTTCCGTTGGCATCAACAGCACTACGGCGAGGACGGTTGATTACCTATCCAAGTCTCGGTCGAGAAGGATTTCTGAATCCTTATTGGTCGAGGTCATCTCATCAACCTTCTTGGCAAAGTGAGGTGTTACAGTTATTACATTCGGCACATTGAAAGCCAAATTTGATTCGTGAACTTCGTAAGAATAGTAGCCTTGTCTTCAGGCTCGAGAATCCAAGAGGCCAAGACGTGTTCCTTTCTCGGCCGCAATCGCAAGACGCAAAAGTCAGTAGCGCGACCCAACGCAACATCAACAAATTTTACTCCTCGACCGAGTTCGGCCGACGAGTTGGCACGCCCCGCACACAACCGAAGGACGTAGTTAGCTCATAGATTACTCAGCCTGCGCGCCACATAGGCTTGGTAGTTTCTAGGGTCAACAGTGTGTAAATAGGATTGTGAGTATGGTTGTATATATGTAGTAGTAGAATTAGAAACATTGTTATAATTATGTGTAACTAAAGTTGTAAACCCGCGACATCGTGCGGGTTTTTTTGCTTGTAAAATCTAAAAAACGAACGGGTGTGCTATCAATACATCCTTTTTTACTTCTTCCATACCCCTTGTTAATTTAGATCATTTACTATTCTTCAATTCATCCGATTCGACGGCAGCCGGTGGCTTTCTCCGTACACCTCTTCAGCTCCGTCGCCGGCGGCGGTGCATTCTTTCCACAACTCTCCGTTTCGAGTCTCCACTTTCGAGCTCGTTTCATTCTCTACTGCCGCTTCCACCTGGTTCCGCTTCGCCGATCAGATATCCAATGTAAGTCTCTCGCTATTTAATCTTGGTTCTGATTAAATGGTTGGTCAGTAATAAAAGTTGAGAGAATTGTGCAAATTTACATGCACAATTGGTTCTTTTCGATTTTTGTGGTAAATTTGTTAAATTTATTCGTAATCTGTAAGGTTTATTCATTAATTTAGCAATTTGCGAATTTTGTAGTGTGGAATGCGTATAATGTGAATGGGAGGTGGTTTTCAAGTGAGGCAATGGCTGATGTTGCAGCAGGGGGTAATGGTATAGTTGGTGTACCATTGGCTCAAACCGGTGAAGGCATTGCCGAATGAGAGCTCCTCAAATGGTTCGTGCGGGAGGTCTGTAATTCCTCCTATACGTTTTGCATTATCATATCCTATACAATATATATGCACATACATTTGTATCTGTTTATATTGTTGATCCACGTACTTGCGCAAGGTGTGTTAGATTTGTGTGGGAAGTTTTGGCAGGCCTGCACATTGGGCGGTCTCGTTGAAAGAAACTGACTTACTCGTTTTTTTACTCAATTGGAGCGTCAATTAGTACGAGTATCTGAGGTTGTTTTGAAGAGAATATGGAATTAGAGGTTTAATTTGTGATTTTGGCAGGGGGATCAAGTTGACGAATTTCAGCCACTTTGTGAAGTGCAAAGTGACAAAGCAACCATCGAAATAACAAGCCGTTATCTGGGGAAAGTTTCTCAGCTTCTCTATGTTCCAGGTGACATCGTCAAGGTCAGAATATTTTTACACCTTACATCCTAGAGTTTTAGGAATAGTGGAGAGAGGTCTGCAGCGTTATAGTGAAAACAATTGTTCTTTTAGAAATTGAACTTGTTCCAGAAAGTTAGCGACAAAGCATTTCTTTTTGGTGGATTAGCTCATGTTTCTTTGAATCCTAATTTGAAACTCTTATTTATGCCTTAGAGTTTAAATGAAATCTTAGGTTGGAGAAATTCTTTTAAAGATGGCCGTCGAGGAATCTCAGGTTCCAAAGCAGATTTGTGAGAGTTTGGAAAACACTAAGTTGCTAGATTCTGAGCTGAACACACATAACATAGGCGGAGTTTTATCGACACCTCCTGTTCGGAACCTTGCAAAGCAATTTCATATAGACATAAATGAAGTCTGTGGAACTGGTAAAGATGGGAGAGTGTTAAAAGAAGATGTCATTAAATATGCTGCCCAGAAGGGAATCATTGAAGTTCCTTCTGTCTCCTTGAGTGCTAGTCCCGAGAAAGCTTTGGGAGGAGAAGATAGTTACGCACATACTTCAGCTGAATCGCGATGGAATTATGACGATAAGACAGTTACCCTGAGGTAATATAGCATGCAAACATGAACTTGGAACGCCTCCTTTGTTCATTAGTGAATCATTTGTATGATCCACGGCTGAACTTATGTCAGATAATATTGGTTAATGAGTTGTATCTGTTAATGTTTGTGCAGTAGCAGAATATCATAGATAATATTTGTTTTTAGTGGTTTTATTCAAGACAGAGTGAAGTATGCAGCGAGTTAACTGTAGTCTGTTCTTTCAGGGGATTTCAGCGAAGAATGGTTTAATCAATGAGCATGGCTGCAAAAGTTCCACATTTTCATTATGTTGAGGGTATAAAGTGTGATGCACTTGTGGAGCTGAAAAATTCTTTCCAAAGTAATAATACCGATTCAAATGTCAAGCACACTTTCCTTCCATTATTGATGAAGACTCTCTCAATGGCCATGAACAAATATCCCCTGATGAATAGTAGCTTCAATGAAGAGTCACTCGAGGTCACCCTCAAAGGTTTGTACTTTGTACAATCCATAGCAATTATCATCTGTTGGCTGCAGCAATGTTTCTACTTTAGCTTAGCCTTTTATGCGCGTGATGGAAAACTTGCTAGTATTAATTTTATCGTACTTGAAGTGGGTTTTTTACTTTAACTAAATGGAAATTGTTACAGGTTCCCACAATATCGGAATTGCCATGGCTACTCCATATGGTCTAGTTGTACCAATCATAAAGAATGTTCAGTCTCTTTCTATTTTGGAGGTTAGTTCTATGTGACCCCTCAACTGTAGCTTACACTGCGTATCTGGATGTGTATACACTGTTTCGTTTGTTTGCGTTGGAAAACAAGCTCAATGTGTGCTGATAACAACTTCAACTGTAGCTTACACTGCGTATCTGAATGCGCGTCATGGAAAACTTTGCTAGTATTAATTCTATGTTCCATGTGTGCAGATAACAATGGAACTTTCACGGTTACTACAACTTGCATTGGAAAACAAGCTCAAGCGTGAAGATATATCTGACGGAACAATAACTTTAAGTACTATTGGAGCAATTGGTGGGAATATGGTTCGCCTCTTCTCAACTTACCTGAGGTTGCCATTATTGCAATTGGACGAATGCAGAAGGTTCCACGATTTGCAGATGACGGAACTTTACATCCTGTCTCAGTTATGACGGTGAGTGTTTCTTTTGTTTCTCCATTGCAATCAATTGAAAGGGTAAATCTGCATGACTTCCATACAAATGGTTGGCCGGTCTAAATATAACATTTTTGTTTCTCAGGTCAATATAGGCGCAGATCATAGAGTGCTGGATGGAGCAACTGTTGCCAGGTTCTGCAACGAATGGAAACAATTTATAGAGAATCCAGAGCTGCTGATGTTGCGTATGAGATAGATCACTGTTTGTCGGTCGATGCCTGCTGCCTGAGAATATGCGCTTCTCTACGGACTGAATTCACTGTTGACTTTGTATAGTTCGATTTCAAGGCTGTTTACAAGCAAAACAGCCGGCTCAAGAGTAGGTTTTATTTTAATAAATAATTTAAATGTACACTGTTGACTTTGTCTATTATTTGTTATAAATATATTTATATCACTATTTTTAAGAAGAAAAAAAAGGAAATAAAATTGGGGGTGGAACTTGGAAGAATGGGAGGGGGTTTTGTGAAGTGGGAGACGTGGGGTAAAAAAACAACCTTCTCAATTTGAAGGTAGTTAGACCTCAATTCAAGCTTAGAAAAATAAACTGCACATAATAATTCATCCAGCAAGTCATCAATTAAAGGAATAGGGTATTTGTCCTTGATACTGAGGGAGTTTAATTTCCAGTAATCCATGCATCAACTCTATGTGCCCTCTTTCTTTTTGACAAGAAGCAAGAAAGGACTGTGACTGGGTCTAATGAACCTTGAATCCAAAAGTTCTTTGACTGCCTTCTCAATTTCAGTCTTTTGGAGTGGACCATAATGGTAAGGTCTGATGTTTAGGGGTTTTGCACCAGGCAATAAGGGTATGTGGTGATCATGTGCTCTAGGAGGCGGTGACTTGGTAGGTAAAATGATAAGCTCTTCAAATAACCCTAAGAGAGATTGCAGTTCTTGCAGTTGTGTAGGAGTGAGTTCAGAAGCTTCTAATTTCTGGTTCTCCATAGAATATATACAAGAATAAACCCAAATTTGAGTTGAGGATTTCTTTATCAAGCTGCTGCAGAGAAATCTCTTGAATACAAGGGATGTGAGGATAACCACTAAACTCCCAAAACAACATCACAACCCGCTAATGGAAGAGAGAAGAAATCTACTTGACAGTCATAGCCCCCAACAGACAATGGAGTGGCTTTACAGCACATAGAACTACTAACTTTGTCCTCATCAGCTATCATTATCTCAAAGTGTTTAGTGTGCTGAGATGGCCAACCAAGCTTCTTCAACAATCTGGAGATCACAAAATTATGGGTACTTCTAGAATCAAGCAAGATTTAACCTTGTGGTCATTAATGAAACCATCTACTTTCATGGTTTGCAATGTCTGATTAGCAGTGGTGCCATAAAAGGCACACTCACTGAGTTGCATATGCAATAGCTCAGGTTGAGGCTCCTCAGATACGGGCTCATTAAGATCATCAGAGTATGCACCATATCCAACATGAGTAAGTGTTTATTAGCACACTTATGACGCCTTTCCCATTTTTCCTCAAAAAACCAACACTCTCGCTTCTCTTTTTAACGTTGAATTTCTTTAGGTGAAAGTTTCTTAACATACAAGGAACCATGTCTAGGTACATGGGTAAAACTTGGAGCACTGCTTTGGTTCTGAGGTCTAGAAGGTACTGAAGGTTTAGGATGTGTATTCCTCAGTTCGTAGTGCTTAGTGTCAATTTGTAAAGCCAAATCTATAGCCTCATGGACAGTATTAGGACGCAGCAGTTTAACATCAAATTTCAACTCCTTTTTAAGACACCCAAGGAAGCAACTCTTTCGCAAAATAGGACCAACATTAGTAGTACGAGTTACTAATATATGAAACTCAGTAGTATAGTCTTTGAGGGTACCTGATTGGCGTAATTTAAATAATGCTTCAGTACAATCTTCAAACTCTGAGGGCCCTAACTCCTTACAAAACGCCTTGGTGAATTCCTCCCAACGTGGTGTAGATTGTAAACTATCTAACCAACGGAACCACTGTAATGCCTCCCCCCTCAAGATTAAAAGGTCACTGTCAACACCTTAAGATGATTAGTTGTGTTGTAATAAGTAAAAAATTGCTGGGCCTTTTAGATCCAAGCCAGGGGATATCACTAGGAAGAAATCGGGGAAAATCAATCCGGAGCTGCCAAGGTTACCTAGAGCATGGCCGCCGCCGCCGTCATAGAGCTCGCGACGAGGAGGGCGAATAGGGTCCATTTCCGGTTGCTCAGCCAAGAGAAGAGGAGGTACTGGATTTGTGTTCGAGGAGGACCCAGCGCTGGGTTACAAGCTAGCTCACGACAGAACTGCTCAAAATACAATGGTAATTTGGCATCCAGTGTATTGGACAAGGAAGAGTTTAAGTTAGCCACAAAGGTCTCCAACGCAGCGACACGCACATCCATAGCTGAGAAACGAGTGGTGGTAGTGTGGCGGGGCATACAACAAGGGAACCGGAACCGATATGGGTGATACCCATGATAGAATCTGTTAGAGTAAATGTAGGACTATAGAAAATAATTCGAACGATGACTTTGATGTTCGATTTAAATTGTTTCCTTAAATTGTTATTTGTTCTCATTCGAATGAGTTTGCTAAAGGGTTCTTGGTAAATCACTTTCAAGATACAATAAAGTATGAAATATTCGATTAGCAAAACCGAATTATATTCTCTTAGAAATAACTAGAAAGAAATTGTATGAATGTGATGAAGAAAGAAGAGAGTAAGGAATGTAGAAATAAATTTCTGAAATTGTGTGTGAAACATTATGCCACAATAGGTATTTATAGGCATTAAAGCATCCGTTTATCGAGCCATTTCATTTTAATTGAAGATACAGAACTATTCTTAATAATATTAATCCAAATGACATGTTTTCTATTTAAAATTTTCAAAAAATAAATATTAATTAATTACATCTTTTAATTCGACTTGTAAAATTTGAATAAAAATCATGTTTTTTAATAAAAAAATTATAACTATTCAACAAGATATACAACCGTGAAAAGGTTGAATGAAGCCCAACCTTTCATAACGGTTGCTGCCCGTACAGTTTGTGCGCATCACAGCACCGTTAATAGATTACACACACACATGCTGCAGCACAATGCAGCCAAGTCATATATATATATATATATATATTTTTTTTTTTTTATAATAATAATAATTTATATATTTATTATTGAAATATCTAACAATCCTTTCCAATTTCAACAATATGATAAATAATATAATAACATTTCCCTCTTTATAATTAACCACAAACATACTGATATAATCATGCATATAATAAAGGTGTCTTTCGAATTAAACCTTTAATTAGTGTAAGTAATTCAAAGTTATAATGAATGCGATAGTGACCTAAGTTTAAACCAACTATTCTTATGTTAAAACCATAATCACTACACACATTATGTCTTATTTCCTTAAAGAAAATTTTGAACTAATTCAGCATTATTATAGCCTTGTGCTTCATCCTAGTTTCATAAACATTTACAAAAGAAAACCCAACTCTTGGTAGAAGCGGCACCGCTTCTTATGTTCATATAGGTGAGGTTCATTCCCATGTCCCTACTACCATAGACCTAACTACAAATAACCTCATTAAGAAATAAAACTCATCCTCCTAAACGTAACAGTCTTGCACTGATTATCATGCAATGAGCTATATATTAATTTTCAGTGTTTTCACAACCACTTATCAATAACTTGTTATTACCCATTAAACTTTTAAACTAGTGATGTTCTAGACAAAGTCGAGTTACCATTATTGGTGGCTAATTTTCAGTAAAGGGTTTTAGCCCCATTCCACTAAATGTACTAACTACCAAAACTCTTGAAAGCGTTTTCGTTAACGGATACGTCAAGTTATTACTTGATTTAACATAAATAATATTAATAACTCCATCAGTTATTAATTGTTTGACATATTCATGTCTCAAGCTAATATGTCTAGACTTTCCATTATATACCTTATTGTATGCTCTAGACAAAGTAGCCTCACTATCACAGTATAAAGAAATGGATGGCATTGGTTGTGGCCACAACTCTATTTCCGATAACAAATTTCTAATCCATTCCGCTTCTTTACCTGCAGCCGCTAATGCTATAAATTCAGATTCTTTTGATGCACAAAATCAGTGAGGACTTTGGTACAACAGAAAGTGTCAAGTTTGTGACCTTCGCTAGATTGCTCCGGTCACCAGTGTGGATAAGTATGTAAATGGATAGAGACAGGGAAGCAAACACAAGATGTACGTGGTTCACCCAGATTGGCTACGTCTACGGAGTAAAGGAGTTCTCATTAATTGTGAAGGGTTTACACAAGTACATAGGTTCAAGCTATCCTTTAGTGAGTATTAGTGAATTATCTCTTTTTATATAAGGGAGTTTCTAGTTTTGTTCTGACATTGACATGTGTCGTATTGTGATTGGCTTCTGGTGTTGACACGTGTCGTGCTATGATTGACTTCTGATGTCGACACGTGTCGCGCTGTGATTGGCCTCCTGGTTGGAGGGAAACTCTTCTGGGTCCTTGACGGTATAACGTTGACCGGTACTCGGTAGTTTCGGGATTGGTCAAGTATGGTACAAACAGATTCCATGGGTGAATGTACTATACATGTTTGCTTCTTCGAAGCCCAAGATATTGTTCCTTCAGCAATTGTAAGACTTATTATCATTAGCACTTGTTATCCAACTTGCATCTGAATATCCTTCAAGTATTGCTGGAAACTTAGAGTAAGTTAAACTCAGGTTAATAGTTCTTTTAAGATAACCAAAAATTCTATTTATTGTTTTCCAATGAGCAGTACATGGATGACTAGTGTATCTAGAAAGTTTGCTTATTGCAAATGCAATATCTGGCTTGGTACAATGCATGACATACATTAAACTTTCGATTACACTAGCATACTCAAGTTGTGCAACGGACCTACCTGAATTATTAAGCAAAGTTTCACTAGGGTCATAAGGGGTATTTGCTTCTTTTATTTGTAGATGCTTAAACTTAAGAAGCAATTTTTCTATAATGTGACTGACACAAAGCGTAACCTCTACTATGCTTCTTTACTTTAATTCCCAAGATAGTATCTACTTCATTCAAATCCTTCATCTTAAATTTTGAATTTAGATACTTATTAGTTTTAGATACACCTTTCATGTTTGAACCAAATATTGAAGGCAATGACAGAATCAAAATAGGCAATGGTCAAGGTTTGCCATCAAGTATGTTGGATTTACAATGCTTAATACACCATCTCATTCTCTTAAACTTACCCAAGTGCTTCACGTGCCCAATCTTGCTGAGGATTTATTGTTTGTTAAACAACTCTGCATAGACAATTAATGTTGGTTCATTTATGATGACAATTTATTCTTTGTGTAGGTCAAGGTAAACAAGGAGATTCTTTACCAAGGCAGGTGTAGGCAAAATAAGCTGTTTTAGATTCCTGTTTTCAAGACTATACACTCTTCAGCATATCTTGGGCAATTAATCAAGTCTTCCTTATGACATCAAGGACTAGGGCATCCAAAAAATGAGGTCTTATCTGTTATGTTGAAAAAGTCACAAATAAAAAATGTAGTAGATGATCACAGTACAATGTGTCGCTCATGTATTCAGGGGAAGATGTCAAGATTACTTTTTCCTCAAGAGTCTTCTAGATGTTTAGTACCCTTTGAAATGATCCATTCTGATATTTGGTGTCATTCTCCAGTCAAATCCATTGAAGGATATAGGTATTATGTAACCTTTGTGGATGATTGTACACGTTTTGTACGGATCTTTCCTTTATGCAATAAATCAGATGTATATTTTTTTTTCCATCTTTATGACATTTTATACCTTCATCTCAGTACATTTCAATGCTTTTGTTAAGTATTTGCAATCTGATGGATGGGGTGAATATACTAGTAAATAGTTTGAAGGTTTTTTGAGTTCTAAAAGAATATTAGGATCTCATGCCCTTATACTCCTCAACATAATGGATTTGTTGAGAAGAGAAATAGACATATCATTGAAACTGCTATTACTTTGCTCTGTGTTGTTGGTCTATTTCAGGACTTCTGGTTTCATGCATGTGTTCATGTTGTCTACTTGATTAACAGAATGCCCTATAAATCTTTACATATGGATTCTCCATTTCTTGCATTGTATCATAAGCCTCCAATTTTTCATCATCTTAGGGTTTTTGGTACAACTGTTTCCCTATATCAAGCCATATAATTCCAATAAACTATAGCCTAGATCAATATTATGTGTGTTTTTGGGATACTCAGTTGGTTATAAAGGTACTATCTGCTACAATCTTTAGTCAAAGAAAATGATTTTATCAAGACATGTTGTCCATGATGAAAGTGTATTTCCTGCTAAAATTCATGCTGCTCCATCTCAGTGTGGTCCTATTGCTCAAGACAATAGATTGGTTACTTCATTAGTGGCTACTTTACTTGTGATCAATACTCAGAATGGTCTTGGTGGTGTGTATGGTAGTTCATCTAGTACATCAATTTCTACATCAGAGAGATCTTCATCATGGTCAATGGTTGCTCCTTATGCACATGAATCTAAAACATCAACATCAATAGCTCATACAAATGCCACTCCTCCACACTCTTTGGTACTTGTCCTAGACCCTGCACAGTTGCAGGTGTTACTTCTTGTTGACTCTCCTGATATAGCTTCTCGTATAGCATCTGAGATCACTAATCCATCTCATACATTCAATCATGTTTCTCCAATTCAAACTAGATTGAAAACAAGTGCAATATCTAGACAAGATTATTTAGCTTATTTGGCAACCTCTTTAGAGTCATCTTCATTACAAATTGCTCCAAATGAGTATAGCTTTTCTGGTTATACCTATTTAGCTGATATGATTGATGTAGAGGAACCTAAACACTTTAGGTATGCTTCTTCAAATCCTTTATGGCAACAAGCAATGAAGGAGGAGTTTGATGCTCTAAAATCTCAAGGGACTTGGGTATTGGTTCATATTCCTTCTCAAAGATCAGTAGTAGGATGTAAATGGGTCTATAAGGTTAAAAGAAACTCTTATGGTAGTATCTCTAGATATAAAGCTTGCTTAGTGGCTCAAGGGTTCACTCAAGAATATGAAGTTGACTATTCTGAGACTTTTAATCTAGTGGTGAGACATTCCACTGTTAGACTTATTTAGCTACTTCATGTTAGTGGACTTTAAAACAAATTGACATTAAAAATGCTTTCTTGCATGGTCATTGCAAGAAAAGGTTTATATGCTCCAACCTCAAGGCTTTGTTGATTCTCAGCATCCAAATTATGTATGTAGATTGGTTAAGCCCTTATATGGATTGAAACAAAGCTCATCGAGTCTGGCATTCAAAATTCATTGGAGTTTTACCTAGTCTTGGTTTTAATGTCTCTTAATCTGATGC